GGTCAATGGTGAACTCTTTGGAATGGGGACCATTTTTTCAAACTGTATTTTAAGAAAACACAGGCTAAAGAATTTGTAATGTTACCTGTAACCTTCTAAACATAAAATATCTCATATTTCATAGCAAAAGATTGAACTACTGCAATTTTTGCAACAATAAATTGTTTAAATTATAGTAGAGAACGTATTCTGCTAATTAGTAGTCTCCACATATATTTCTGAATATCAAATGAGAGTCTGCTTTTCATACAGTAGCTATTGCCTTTTGTAGTAGAAAAGCACTCAATGGCAAGACTCAGAACTAAACTGAAAATCACACATATTGTTTGCATCTAAAAAGAATACAGAAGATCCTTGTTAGGACAGATGGCACAATTTAAATCAAAACTACCTTAATTGCTTCTCCATATTAATTCTTGAGCTTGCATTTTAACAGGTTTTGTGTTGTGTTTGCAAACCTGTTAACCAAGGCCACTAGCTTACAAGTGTGTCAAGGTGATATTTGAAGTTTATTCCTTTTCAATTTCCAGCTGAAGAACTGTACTGTTTTCAAGCTTAAAAGACCAGAGCTTATGGAAGAAAAGGTCATGCATTACCACTCAGGAGGAGCTGGATGCTAAATGTAAAGTTTATTAATAATGAAAACAATGGGGTTCTCAGCTACTTATTGCCATGGAGGAAATCAACAGCATTTTCCTGAGGTTTTGATTCTACTGTACTGTTTCACAGCATGTAATTTGTTACAACTCTGAAAATAGGAGGAAGTAAAAGAGTTCATAGCTTTAAATAACTGTTCACACTAAAATAAGATTCATTTTAAGATCTCCCCTAAGGATTCAACTCTATATATTCTGCATTAGAAGAAAAAAAATAGTTTAACTGTCTACTTAAGAAGAGAGATGATGAAGCACACTTTGTAGTGTTTACCAAATCACAGACACGGTGAATGAAATTCGTTCTGATTCTAAATACACTTCTTTATTCAACAGGCTTTGTGCACACACCCAGCTGATACAGTTGCTCTCATGAATAAGAATACCCAGTATTATAACCCAATATGAATCTTATTCTAGATTCATGATAACTTATGACCAAGACATTATTGTTTCAGTAACCATTTTTCCCTTTATTTATGGTAACATTGCTTTCTAACTTTTGTATTAAATATTTAATAGTCAAAAAATGAACTCTTAGGTTAATATTAGTATTATCAAATAGTACAACAATGTTGGCTTTAGGAAAACATAAAAATATCTATACAGTGAAAGATCATATGTTGACACTCCCAGTAGCACACAAAGGCATTATCACTGAACAGCACAAGTTATTAATACTACAGAGAGAAACTCAGAGAAAAAAAATCCTTAGCTGGCTCAGAATATCACCATCTATCAGATTACAGCAACAAACTATCTTGTGCTCACTTGTTTCAACTTTATGATTTAAATGTTTGTTTTAATAACTATTATTCCATTCACTATCTCACTGATGGATATTTTCTCCTGTTAGTGTATGGAAATAGTTTAACAAAGCAGAAAAAAGAAAAAACTTTACATCCATAGACATATTCTTCCATTACTGCAAGTACTCACTGATGTTATGGTTTTGGAGCAATAGTTCAGCACTGAGGATAGGGAGCTAACCACATACTCATTTTCTGTCATGACATCAAAAGACACATTTTATCAACTTGCCAAGGGCAAACAGTGAACTTTGAAAATTAATGCTAAAATCCTTCAACAAATAAGAGTATGCAAATCTTAAGCTTCATCATGATCACTTGAGCTATCCATTCACAATCACCTCTCATTCAGCTTTACCACAGTCTCTCATTGTAAGTGTGCCCCTCCCAAGTCCCGTACTCCATGGCCCGATTCCTACTTAGCCATGTCTATCACATTTATGAATACTACATAGTTGAACACATTTCAAAATTGATAATGCAGCTATCAGTGAAAGCTTGAGGACTTCATCCACGTAGATGTTCGGTTAAAAGAAATTTTACAGAGACACAATAAAATTACAAAGAAAGATTAGCAATGTTCACACAAACTTGTAAACGTGAGCTTTGTGCTTTCCTTTTAAAAGACATTTTTATGCAATATCTTTGAGCAGCAGTAGAATCTCCTAAGAATTGCTCTGGCTCATAGCCCAACAAACCTGCACTGAAATAAAAACTCAAAACTGCTTCACAAATGTTTCTTTTCAATCAGGAATACGGATTAACTGAGACAGAACAGCAAGAGGAAATAAAGGACTCTGCATTTTATAATGTTCAACAGGTATTGTTTGTACTGTATTTAGAAACAGGAAATAATAAAATCCCCTCTCCAACCATTCTAAGTATTTGTTCAGCAACATTTAATTCATCTAAATACACATCACTTCTATCATGAACTCTACTTTGTGTGTTTATTCTTGTTGCCATAAGAAACGTTTGTCATACATTTACACAATGTACTATCAAATAATATTGCACTTGTGCTGACAGAGAGCATTGTACAATACATACATCGCTAGTGCCAACACTTTTGCCTCAAATTTCCCATGTTTTTAGTAGTTTTTCTGTTCTCAACAAACACATTTGCATTTTCAATGCTATCCAAACAGTTTAAACATGAGAATGGTTGTCCTGGGGCAAATCTCAAGACTGTCTAGACAGGATTATGTCACAGAGAGTGGTTAAAAACAGTGGCCTAGGGAGGAGTCCCACATTAGAATGACTCCTGAATACTAGAGAAATTCCCCAGAACCAGAATACTTTTCTGGCTACCAACAACCTGTGGATCAAAGGCTGTAATATGAAAAAAAAAAAAAGAAAAAAAAAAACAACAGGAGAGCTGACATATGAAGCAAGAGGCATATTTCAAACAGAAGAAATATATGCTCTCATTACACAGACTACTTCATTCCACTCAACAGTGTTTCTTAGTCTTGGTATTGTCTTTCATCCTCAAAATGTGCTGTTTTCCATATGGAAGAGGTGGCAAAAATGAAACCGTTTCCCTTCTTTCCTCACAAAACCTCCCTCTGACTGGAGTTGGCCTCCTGTTCCTATTCCACTTGACTAAACCAATCTTTTTCTCCTCCCACACTAGCTCCATCTGCTGCCCGTCTCTCCAGCAGAGCCAGATGCCAGCAAAGCAGACTACTGTGGGAGGAGAAAGTTCTGTTGCTGGAATTTCTTCCCTATACCCTGCAGGGGGCCAGCCTGTGAAGCCTGGGGAAGCTACAGGGAGCAACTTCCTCTCTTCCACGCGGCTTCCCTCTGCCCATCAGTAAAGGCGGCAGCTGAGGACAGGAGCAAAAGGATAAAACCCTACCGCACACCATGAAATTTGCAACTTCCATATTTATATCGTTAACAGTCTCGCAAGTGGACTTCAGACCCAACTCAGCACACTACAAACTTCATAAACCTATAAGAAGTCCTGCCCTGAAGAGCTTACAACGAAACAGAAGCAGAGATGTGCATTTATTTGTGATAAGAAATGAGAAAGAGTGACTAGAGTGTAGATGGCAGGCTAAAAAAGGGCAGGATTTATGATTAGGAGAGATCTTAATGATGGAGTAAATGACTATACTTTCTAGAGGCAAGCTGAGGTTGTGTGTTATTAAGCAGGAGGACTGTACGTGGCATAGGAAAATATCTGCATAGAGGGAAAGTCTGGAATGAAAGAAGAGAAGGAAAGAAAAAGTGATTTTTGTTACGTCTGAGGTGATTGTATATGAGGCAGAGGGAGAGGTAAAGATTTCAGACTGAAAGGCACAGAGAAGCATCTGCAGGAATGAGATTTGCCACAGTAGCAAGAATGAGTGTCACTGAGTGAGAAAAGAGCTCAACATAAAGCAAACCAGTGTGCATACGTGTGAGACATTAAAAAAGGCACAGGCTTCATTTCTGGGAGAGAAAGCATTGTGAAAACATCAGATGAGAGAGACAAGAAACAGGAATGGGTAAGGGTGATGTATGGGCGCAGCAGAAAGTTTGGAGTGGGGTTGGCAGGACAGAAATAAGAGAAGGAAAACAGATCTAAGAGACAAGTGATAAAATGCACATGAAGTTGAAAGAGCACATGTAGAGAAACACATAACGAGAAAGATGAAACAGAATAGCTGGGGAAAGAGAGAAACACATCACATTGAGAAAGATGAGGAAGAAGGGCTCACAACAGAATGCGTGACAGAAAGGATATAAAAAGGGAAAGAAGAAGATGTGCTAATAAGATAAAGACAGCAAAAGATCATTATTTAATGAGTCCAATTATGTAAAAAAAAAAAAACAAATTGGAAAACTGGGACTGGGCAGAAGAGTGACTGGAAACGGATGTTCACTGAATTCACACTGTGCCTCTAAACTCTTAGGGTCTGCCCCATCTAGGTTCCCTATATTCTCATTTGCTTTTTCACTTAGAAAGCATTGTATTTCCTGGTCCTCCATACCCTCAAACTTTTGTGTTAGTTGCACCTTTATGCCATTTGTTTCACCGTTTCTAGTGGCAACTCTTTGTGTTAGATTTAAACGGGAAATGCTCTTATTTTGCCGAATACTTGACCACAAAGAAACGTGCCCACAATCTCAAGTTTCTTTCCTCCTGTCCTCATAACAATTTCTTCCATTCATTCTTCTTTCAGAAATAAGAAAGAGAGAAAGAAAGAAAGAAGGGTGGGGAAAACTCAGCACTACAGCGGTATCCTGCGTCCCTGAGACTTCCCCGAGCTGCTCCCCAGTTCCTCCCAGTGCCCCGGCTGAGGCTTCCCGTCTCTCACGGGGGAGAGCAGGGCGGCAGGGCAGGGAGGGATCTCCCTCCGAAACGCATCCCTCGGGCGGGGAGGGAGCGCGCTGCCGGCTGCGGGAAGGGAAGCCAGCACGGCCGTGTGCCCTGGATGCTGGCTGACATGGCTGGCTGCTTTATTTCATTTAGGGGATACGGAAAAGGGATGGGGGAAAGGGAGAGGAGGAAGCGCACGCTCGCACACACGCACACGGCTGCTCTTACCTCCACATTGAAATACTGCTCCGCTTTGCACACTGTAGCACATAAAATCCAAAGGCAGGTTTGCAAGAATAACACCCTGGATTGAGACACGAAATCCAACCGGCTTCCAGTGCTGAGTGCGAGTACGATCATAGTGAACTGTGCTTCAATGGATGGAAGGTCTCTCTCTCTCTCTCTTTCCCTTAAACAGACACACAAACAAACCAGCCCCCTCCCGTGTCCGTGAGGAGCCCGTAGCGCAGGTTCACCCACAACAGGGGAGGAGGAGGAGGAGGAGGACCAGACACTTCCCAGATCGGGCGGCGACAGCGGGCTCAGCTCTCGCTCATCCTCACCGCCAGTCCCGTCAGGAGGGAATGTGGCGTCCGAATGCAGCCGCAGCTCCTACACGGCTCCTCTGCCCAGCAGCAGCATCCGCCTCCCGTGCCCTCCCTCCTCCACCTCCTCCTCCTCCTCCTTCTTCTCCTCCTCCTCCTGCTGTTGCTGCTGCTGCTCCTCCTGCTCCTCCTCCTCTTCAGCCTCCTCCCACTCTGCTTCCTCACGGGGAAGGCCGGGCTGGCTTGCTGGCCAGCCAGTCGCCGGCTCGGCTCGGCTCGGCTCGGCTCGGCTCGGCTCGGCTCGGCTCGGCTCGGCTCGGCTCGGCTCGGCTCTCCCCTCCTCTCCAGAGCGTTCAGCCGCCATATCCGTGGCTCCGCCTCGCCGGCCTCTTGGCAGGCACCTTAAAGGCAGTGGGTCCGCCAGGCGGCCCTGCCGCGCTGCCTGTGCGCGGCTTAGGCTCGCTTGGTCGTTTTTCGTCGCTGCCAGCGTTCCGGGAGGAGCGCGCGATTCTCCTCACGGAACGCACCGAAGCAGCCGCACGAACGGCTTCCAGGTGCCCCTGAGCCCGCCCCGAGGAGCGGGGCAGCGCTGGGCCCGGTGATTTGTGCTCTCCGTGACTCGGAGAAACGTGCAGAATCGCTACTGGCAAAGTTTAGCGAAGGTGGAATAATGATGGTGCGCTTAAAGTGATATAAGCGAGTCAGTCAAAACAATCTGTGCGTTGAGATAACTGGAAATCTATTTTAACGAGCACAAATAGAGAATCGTGTATGTAAGGGGAAACAAAAACGCTTTCCGCTCCAGGTAGATAAACATCTGTTGTGATTTTTATGGTTAACGGGACATTTTATGGAGCCCTTTGATAGTTTGATAACAGGGCTTTCCAGAAAAAAAAGGTGGAATAGTGCTCAGTGTTAGTGAGACAAATTATTTCAGTAACACATCTTGTTCATATATGTATTGACATAAAAAAAAAAAAAAAAAAAAAAGGAAAAAAAAAAGTTTAAAAGATTCCAAGATTTGAAAACCTACAAAACAGTTACAAAAAATACTTACTAAGTCATGATATGAAACAACTCGGAGATGGAAGATGTCACTACAGACAAATGTTCTTTTACGGATAGTTGAGGTTAATGGCAGAACTAAACCACATGCAAGTTAAATGTATAGAATGTTGATAGTACCCAATAGCAGGATGTGGGGACATAGTAGTTTCTCAATATTTTGGTATCTTGAAATGCCAGTTATCTTTGCAGAAGTCATGTTCTGCCTAGCCAAAAGTAATGAGACTTAAGTGAAATTCCTTAAGGGGCATACTTTTTTCATGTTAATTACTTGATCACAGAAACACAAAATGGCTTAGTTTGGAAGGGGCCTTAAAGACCATCCAGCTCCAACCCTATATCGTGGACAGAGTTGCTACTCACCAGATCAGGCTGCCCAGGGCTCCATCCAACCTGGCCCATCTTCTGAGGATGAGGCATCTCTAACATCTCTGGGCAGCCTATGCTCATGCCTCACCACCCTCTAAGTAAATAATTTCTTCAAATATCCAACCTAGATTTCCTCTCTTTTAGTTTACTTTACTTTTATTTTAAAGCCATTTCCCCTTGTCCTTTCACTATTAGACCATGTGAAAAATTGGTCCTCCTTCTGCTCATAAGTTTTTTTCAAGTACTGGAAAATTACAAGGTCTCCCCAGAGCCTCCTCCAGGCTGAACAAGCTCAACTCCCTTAACCTTTCTTCATACAAGAGAAGTCATCTTTGAGAAATCATCCAGTCATCTTTGTTGCCCTCCTCTGGACCCACTCCAGCAGCTTTGCATCCTTCTTGTATTGGAGGGCCTAGACCTGCCAAGAGCACTCCAGATGGGGCCTCATAAGGAGAGTAAATCACCTCCCCCTCCGTGCTTGCCACCTCTCTTTTGATGCAGCCCAGGATACAGTTGGCTTTCCAGGCTACAAACGCACACTGCTGGCTCATGTCCAGCTTTCATCCACCAGACCCTGATCTGAAAGATGTCTGTTCTTCAGATTATCAGTGAAGTAGGTGATGAAATCATGAAACAGAAAACTGGAAATGAGCTAGAAGGACCTCTTGGCACTTAGTGGCCAGTATCGGAAATCGAAATGATCCTGACAAATTAATGTCTTGAACACATCAGGAAGAAACTTCATACTGACAAATGCAAATTAAGTTTGGGAAGAAAAATCAGAAAGTATGATACTGGTAAAACTGAATCACATCAGAAAAGAATCTGAAGGATGTAATGGACCATAAATATGAGTCAGCAACATGTTACAATTGGGAAAAAAAAAAAAAAGACAGGACAATGCAGCCTCAGCAGCCTCATTGTGGAGCATATTATTAAGTGTCCTGACCAGACAGGGGATTCAGGGGATTTTTCTGCTAGGGACTGGTGAAACCAGCTGTGGTTGATTTCAAACAAGAGAGAGGCCAAAGGAAAATAACATTTAGAAAGTGAGATGTGGAATATTTGAAATAATACCATTTCTTTAGTCTGAGAAAACCTAGGATAAAGAGTCTATCTGTATGGAAAATCTTGCTGTGAGAAGGACAAAAATTTTAATTATTTATATATTTAGGATGAAGGAAACAAACAAACAAAAAAAAAGCAACTAAATTATCCTGGAAGTTCAAATTCAGTGTTAGATAAAACTTTCTAAAATACATAGGTAGTAGCATTTGGAACTAGAAACCCAGTGGTATGAATGTGAAATATTTGTAATTCAGAGGTTTGATAAGCAAGAATATTATATCTATATCTCCTATTCTCAATGTAGTGGATTTGCAATATATTGAATTATGTGATGTAGTAATTTTTTCTTTTGTTCAGAGTAAGAAAAGAAAATAAACCAGTAGTTTGATTGGTCCAGTAGTTTTGTTTCTTTTCTTACTCTGTGAATTAATAATTGTTTATTCCTCAGGTATTACTGTGTGAATCAATAACTGATAATTATTTACTCTATGAATTAGTAACTAGTTGAAAAGAGATGCTTATACTGTCCATTTTATTTTCCCTCTTCTCCTAAGGGACCTTCTTGTTTGCACTTTCAGCAAGAGCTAGATCTGTATTTGCTGCTGTATTTTCAAGGGTTTGCTGTTAGCGCAATATTGGAAATTGAAATAGAAATAGATACATTCTTTTACTGGAATTTCATTCATCTTCCCTGTCAGTACCACTGTGACTATTCGTTGTGAAAAGCATGGGGCCTTGAATATGACTACCTCCTTCCTTTACACTGTATCCATTTGGAGAGGAAAGAAACAATGGTATGAATAGAACAACGGAGAACAAAACCACACAAGTATTCGTGTGTGTGTGCATGTGAGAAAGACAGAGGGACCACAGAGGTAAAGAAAGAGATTGACAAGGAACAAGAGCAGCAAAGTGTGGATTTGAGTGCCACAGAAAGAGGTATATGAAGGACAAAGAATATCTTCGAAGTGAAAAATATCATTCAGGAGGGAAGAAACACGAGCAGTGACAGGAAAGACTCCTGAATATTTATGAGAAAGCTGTGGGCAGGAATATACAGGAGTAGTATCAGAGCCTCTTGGTCATTCAAGAAGGTTGAGAGAGATAAAAGTATTTTAAAATGACATACAGAGATCTTGTTTATAGATATCTGTATATGGGAGAATGCGAGAAATTGAAGAAAAGGCAGAAAAGAGCAACAAAGATGAAAGAAAAAACAAAAGAAAGGGAGGAGAAAAATGCAACTGTAAGGAAATTTGAGCTATTTGTTGAAATATACAGCAGAACTAAAAAGCTGAAAACAGTTCTAAGTGATAGTTCATTTATTTCTATAGCTTTTAGCCATTTTGAAAGACAAGATCTTTTTCCTTTGCTCCCAGCCAGCTCATTTACTAGGTCAGTTTCTTTGACTCTATAAATTATATCTTTTACGGATAACTATAGTCACAGCTTCACAATGGATAGAGTGATTACTAGAAGCAGGCATAGGCATCATTAGACACTCTCATATCCAACCCTGAACACAGGGCAAAAATCTTTTGCTTTATTGTATATCCAATTCTGAATAGAAATTCATATGATAACTTAAAATCAAATAATACATGACAACCTTTCTGCATTTTGTGGTGCTTAGCTACTGGTAGTACAAACTGGAATTTTTTTAAATAGTAGTTTCGTTGCAACATATAATGGACTGCAACAACTGAGGTAGAGATCACGCATCTTGCATATCTATAGACTGCTATATCTAGGGCTAGATTATCATAGAATGATCATAGAATGGCATGGGTTGAAAGGACCTCAAAGATCATCTAGTTTCAACCACCCCTGAGATGTGCAGGGTCGCCAACCACCAGACCAGGCTGCCCAGAGCCACATCCAGCCTGGCCTTGAATGCCTCCAGGGCAACCTGTTCCAGTGTGTCACCATCCTCTGAGTGAAAAACTTCCTCCTAATATCCAACCTAAACATCCCTGTCTTAGTTTAAAACCATTCCCCCTTCTCCTATCACTATCCACCCTCATGGATAAGATTGGAAAAGATTTTCTAAACACCTGGACTTTTTTATATGGAATAAGCTATTCATAGATAGATCTTGACTATTTGAAAGATCCTCCAGTACATGAAGGCAACAAGCTTATTGCATTTAATATGTATTGCTGCATGGACCATGCTTGCATTGCCTTGTGTTCAGATTGCTATGGTTCTTTATATGCACAAGTTTCATTGTAGGCATAAGGCTGTATAGTCTGAAAGTAGAACTGTCTTATATTGCCAGTTCACTTTGCTATGTTGTCTTACAGTTCCACTCATGACTTTTATGAAGAAGTTGAGTAAAGACAGGAGAAAACAAAATTGTGAAATTTCATGCATAATTGCTATATAATCAAAAGGAAAATTCCTAAAATCATAAAATTCAGTAGTAATTCAGGATATGTTGGCTGCAAGTTTCCACCAAGAGCCAGTGAAGTCAGAGAGGAAAGAAGTCTGAACGTAGAAAAATAGTATAACCATAAGTTGGAATTCTAATTTTAATAGGATCATAATGTCATGGAATAATTTAGGTTTAAGAAGGCCTCTATAAGTAATCAGGTCCAACTGTAAGCGCAAAGCAGAGTCAAATCAGATTAGGTTATCCTGGTGCTTGTTC